TGGAAAACTACTGGCTTGGGGTGGCCTTGGTGGCTTTTGGTTTTCCAGGATTTTAGCCCCGAGTGATGAACCCTTGAGAAGAAACAGCTTCTGTTGACCTCAAAGATCTCCCTCAATTTCTTCCCATTCGACTACTTCCTGCGAATCATCATCAGTGTCAAGGATAACTATGAGATTCTGTGGGAGGGAAAAGCGAACATGGAGGCTGAACTCAATTACAACACAGAGCCCAGGAGTTAGTGTAGCTCCTTTGGGGCAGCAAAGCTTATTTCTAGTCTTGCCAGTTGAAAGTGAAATCCTTCTGGTTTTCTTTTCTTTTCAACAGGCATAGAAGAATAAAAGCATCTGCTAGATCCATAGTTAGCAAATTATTGATAGAAACATAAATGGAATTACCATGTAATTGAGTTTGAGACTTCAAGGCCATTGCCCAGGCCCCATGGGTGTTCTGCAGATATTAAATATGTGAGCAGGAAAATGAGTATGGTAGGTATGACCATCGATGCAAATTCCAAGTCTCAGACAGGACACTAATCTTTGCAATCCCTCCAAGAATGGGATTGCTTCTGACTTACTTATTGTCTGACCAGAACTGTCAACTCTTTGCTAAGCCTTTGGGTACTTCCTATGGTAGGTATGTCCACGTAGTTCTCATACTCCCACTTCCTTTAGTGTGGGCATGTCTGGGTGGATGGAAGTTAAGTGAGCAATGGAGTTTCACTTATGTCCTTCTCATAGTGCATTCCTAAATCCACCTTGTAGCTATTTTCCAAGTTTAACATAACAGAGAAAGATCAATTCTGTATTTAAACATATACCATGAAGGTATTTTTTTTTAAACCTTTGATATAAAATACTGAATCCAAGATCTTTACCTATTATCTTAGGGAAAACTTTTAATTGTGGTAGCTTGCTTACAGTTTTAGAGGTTTAGTCCATTATCATCAGGATGGGAAGTAAGGCAGCATGCAGGCAGACATGGTGCTAGAGAAGGAGCTGAGTTCTTATATCTGGACTCACAGGGCCCAGGAAGTGGACTGTCTCACTGGGCGTGGCTTGAGCATATATGAGACCTCAAAGCCCGCCTCTACAGTGACACACTTCCTTCAATAAGACCACACCTCCTAATAATGCCACTCTCTTTGGGGGCCATTTTCTTTCAAACCACCACAGCTGTTAAGCTCCTTACAGGCGTATTTGGCATGGTAAAATTTAAACTATTTCCATCTTGAGCCTCGCATTAAATTTCCTGGGGCTGGTAATAACAAAGCACAACAAACCAGATGGCATAAAACAGAAGCCCACCTTTAAAGTTTCAGAAGCTAGAAGCGTAAAATGAGATGGCTGGCAGGGCCGAGCTTTTTCTGAAAGGTCTCTGGATAACCTTGGCTGCTTTTTCTTAGCTCTGGGAACTTGCGGCATTCCTTAGCTTCCAGCTGCATCCCTCTGATCTCTGCCTTCTTCCTCACACAGCCTTCTCCCTTCTGCCGTTTATAGGTCGGTGTAGCCTCTCCTCTCAGAACTCCAAGCATTAGCGTCAGGGAACCTCCTAATCCAGCATGATGCCACCTTGCCTAATTCATCTGCAAAGACTCTTTCCTGGTAGACACCGTGTGAAGTGCCAGATGGACACGAACTGGGGGGGGGGGTGACTTAGCCCACTACAACCCCACATCCTTCGATGCCACAACCAGTGGCGTTCTTTTATGCTTTGAATTTCTAGCACATGTGTTTCTTACCCTTCAAAGGAAAAGAAAAAAAAAAAAAAGAAAAAGACAAAAAGAATGCCTCAGAGTTGTCTCAAAAGACATTCTTTCTATAGTTTACCCTCTGATGTCCCCACCTCCCTAAGTTTCTCTCTCAGTGGTCTATACAAAGAACAGTTTTCACCTGAAAGAGTGTAAGAGATCGTTTATTCTGGAGCCAAATGAACATGAGGCACCACGGTTCAGGAATACAGACTTGGGTTATCCCAAATATGTTCCAGCATGGTAACCGTTTCATAGTTTTTTTTTTTTAAATAGTAACAGAATGAGTAAAATAGTAAGTTAAAGGTAGTTTAAAAATACTCTGGAGGGCCGGGCAATGGTGGCGCACGCCTTTAATCTCAGCAGCACTTGGGAGGCAGAGGCAGGCGGATCTCTGTGAGTTTGAGGTCAGCCTGGTCTACAGAGAGAGTTCCAGAACAGGCTCCAAAGCTACACAGAGAAACCCTGTCTCCAAAAAGCAAAGCAAAGCAAAACAAAAACAAAAAAACCCCAAACAAAATACTTTGGAGGAAAAATCAAGTAGATGGTATAAATGTTTGTTATAGGTCTCTGGTACTAGCTGGTGACATTCTCTGCTCTTGGGTTGGTAAAAGTTAAGAGTCCATACATTCCATAAAGGTTTACCTAGTAATAGCCACCAATTGCTCCTAATCTGTAACTTTCTAGCACTCCATAATTCAGCAAGTTTTAATCAGCCATGTAGGATGTTTAACACTAGTGTGTTCCCCGTCCCCCGGACATTATTAGTTTAGCCCTATCGTTTAATATTTAACTGCAGGCAAAAGCGATCTTTCAAAATGATCTCAACGAAGACCAAACTCAAGCTCCTCACTCTAACCTGGCCTTTTATGATCTGACTTCCCGCATCCTTCCATAGGATCCACCGCTACCTGCCTGTTCTGCTCCTGAACCTCTTGGTCCCTGTCGGGCCATCCCTCCAGACTTCGGTTCTGCATGCTCAAGGCTGAAAGCTAAGCCTCCTCACTCACCTCCACTGCCTCAGCGAGGAAACAGTTCATGTCAGCTCTTGGAAGTGTCTGTTAATACCTTTGCTCTTATTCTTAAATAAAAACTACCAGAGGAAGCAATACATTCAAGGTTACACAGAGTGCTGCGCTTGCTCAACTGTGACCCCGCAGCCGCTCCTAAGGCCACGCGGGCGGCTCCGTGGGCTGCGCTGTCACTCAGGAACCGGTGCCAGCCAGAGTTTTCCAAGGACGGAGGGTGAAGTTCGGAACTCACTGGGACCCTTCACTACCAGGGCCTTCCATCTCCACACCGCCCCGCCGGGGGTCCTGCCCGGCCTCTCACACCCACTCCTCCCGCCTGGGTACCCGGGGGGTCCAGAGACGAGCTCGCTTGCAGGATGTGAGCATGCGCAGTGCACGTCCGGCACCCGCGGTCTCCGGCTCCCGCTCTGCGCAGGCGTACCCCGCTCCGGGGACGCCCCGCCTCCCGCCCCGCCCCCTCGGCGCGGGTCAAAGGTCGCGGGGCGGGGCCGAGTGACG